GCGGAATATGTCAACATGTGACCATGTTTTCTGCACTACGAGTTGATTGTGTCATCCTCTTCTGAACTCTTGCCAGTTTTCTCTGCAAAACATGTGTAGGTGGACATGCACAGGTGCAGTCAGTGTCTGGCGTCTGATGCAACTTGACATTGTATGACTTTTCGGCATACTTTGGGCTACAACAGCTATGGATCAGCCTCTGGCAAGTGCATCATGCAGAGAGCTGCTTGAGACTGTTGTGAAGGAACCCGCTGGCCAAAAGGTAACGCGCAAAGGCACGCAAGCAACCAGATTCTCACTGCAGCTGTGCTTCGCCAATCAGCACACGCCATTCTTGGAAGCCTGCAAGCCGGAGGCATGTGGTTGCCGAAACGAAGTCTTCGATGGTGCTGATCATGCGCTTCACAATAGACTAATGCTAGGAAGCATTGCGAAAATGGACACAAGTCAGAATCAAACTCGCCAGGAGAATGGTCTATCCAGAACCATGTACAGAATTACCAAGGCGGCCGCACCCATTTATGGCTGGGATTGTCCCATACTACCATCCGATTACCCGGGTTTTGATTGTGACTCGCGCAAGCCGGATCGGCTATCATGTTCTTGGGAAGCTGAGTTCAGAAGCAGCAAGGGAACTGCTGAAATAGGGTACTTCGAGCAACAGCGAGACAGTACCCCTTCCCGTATGCAATCAGGCCACCTCCCACTCATTTCAAGATGAACAATACCCAGCCGAAAACGCCAAGGCAACTCACAAAGCCAAGCCTGGTGCTGGCATGTTCGAGGCCAAAGACCTTGTCAAGTCTTCCTGAGAGGGCAGGAGTTGTGGACATTCGGGGCTTGGCCAAATTTTTAGTTCGATAAGTGTGGATCTTTTATTGATAGCTCTGCTTTTGACACAAAGCCAAGAGCGTTGCAACAGTGCATTTCTCCATCCACATCTCAATACCACTCCAAGCACATGAACCCCCCGCCTCGCAAGGGAAAATACCACAAAGGATAATCGCGCCCAGGACGCTGCCTTCAGAGAAGCTGGCGTGGGTCATGACTCGACCGGCGCAACACAAACGGACGCCTTGAGTGCAATGACATGCAATGACGCTGTGCTGAACGTAGCTAGCAAGGTCACTAGTGTGGTGACATCCTTGATCATGATGTTCCGGCAAACATCCCTCTGACAACCACGTCTCATACTAAGTGGCCAAGCAAATCAACACTAAAATCTTTGAATCTGAGACCGAGCCAAAGTGCCAAGCATTTGGGCCAGGAAGTTTCCGATGCCCTGGTACCAGGGCACAGCACCACCAAGCACCAGCCTGGATCCAGCGCTGAGCATGCCCAAAAAACCTATGACTCTTTCCAGGATTCCTGAAGGGAATAGCCCAACCACGTCACGTGCGTCCACAAAGGATCCTTTCACTCAGTGCAGCTGGTGCAACATGATCTTCAGAAACGCGCACTCTCATGGCTTGCATCTCCATTCCGAACAAGAAATGTCTCTGACCCAGGGCCCAGTCAATGCCAAGCAAAGTACGCCAGGTTTGGCCCTGACCGTCAAGGCACGAAAAGGTCACGGCGCAGTTCAACTGGCCACCAGAGTTATGACCCACTGCGTAGGCAATGGCCTGAGCTTGTTCCATGCTGCGGCATGGCCTTTCAATAGCACCGGCTTTGCCTCACTCTGGCTACAAGACGGCTATCTGATGTCACTCCTGTCTGTAAGTGCGCCTGACAAATGTCCGTATTTGAAACACACATCGCAGCTTTCTCCACGATAACACTGCAGCTCAGGCACCATAACGCCTACACCGAAGGCCATTGCTGTTAGCAGCCGGGTTGGGCCGTCGCTGGGTCCATAGGCGCAGGCTACGCCTCAAGCAACGTCTTTGGGTTGCATTTGTTCTAATGCTAGAATTTGGTCCAAAAAGAAGTGCCTGTTTAGAGCATCATTCTTAGAAGCTGGAAAGTGCATGTTACATGTGTTGTTTACAGCACAAAATGCTAGTTGTTGGACAAACACCTGAGAATTCCAGACGTATACACACATGTTACAACCACATGTTTGCACCGTGCATTCATAGGGTCTTGTAGCATGTACACGTCAAAACAGTCCGTAAAAGCTCATAGCCATTAGCTGCTGTGGCCATTGCCCAATCAGGCGATGATCAATGTAGACGGATTCGGAAATTATTGTGCAGCATGTGCTGAAGCGCATCTTTAAGTCGCCAGTTGAGCAAGAGCAACATTCACATAAGTCAACAAATCAAGTGATGAAAGTCTTGCGGACTTTGCTCAAGAGAGCGGGCTGTGGCTCGTTCAAAGACAAGCCTTGTTGTGGTCACACCTCCCCTTCATTTCGCCTCAAAGCTCTCTGCCAGGACGCCACAGCCGAGAGTGATCAGTAGCGTGGTGCCGACAAGCTCGGCAAAGATGGCCTGCAAAGATGCAATGTTGTCACAGTGACAGGCTCAGCTGTTTGGCTTCGCAATCTCCATGCTGTTTGCAGATTCTGCGATACCCACGACAAACGGCATTGCGCGTCAGGTTCAGCCCATTTTGAGGAAGACGAAAACCAGAGGGGGGCACCCGCCATGCCTTCAGATCGACCATGCGCATGCTCTTCACCTCTTCTTCTGAAAACCCGGTGACATTCCGCTTGATGCCCCAAACGAAGCTAAGCCTCGGCAGAGCCAGAACATTCCAGCATTCAATAGCATTCAATGGTACCCTCTACCCTGGCATGGTTTTCCAGCGCAGGAGCAAAACCCGCCTACCTGCTAGGGTACAGCAAATTGTCGACTACAAGCTTGCTGTGGATGCGCATGTCCAAACTCAGACAAGGCACATCGTCGCCAGGTATCTCCTCAGCTGTGAATGCAACAAGGACACAAACACAACCTAAGCTTTCGACACGCTTTCTTCGATGTATGCGCACGCGCACATGCCTGCGGAATGAATGCATTCATGTGCGCGTGTCAGTGAATGGATGGGTGAGAAATCAAGCATTCCGCGCTGCTGACACAAGCTCAAGTGGCAAGCAAGCCTTCATTTAGTGAATCAGTGCACTCCTCATGAATTCACTGCAAGCAAGACACAGCCCGGTTCAATCCGTTGAGACGCACGACGTGAGATGGGCTGATAGTATTGAGCTGAAAAGGCCGCGGCATGAGCAAGGGACCGGCCAGCTCGTCTGATTCTAGAGCTCGTTATACACGCCTTGCCTGCGAAAATAAAAACTCTTGGGTGGAGCCGTCTAAAGCACCTGAATTTGTTTGCTTGCTCTGACCTCTGAACACAGTAGCTCCCTGCCTTAATGAGCATTGCATCAAGACACTAGCTCCTGCGACCGGCAACTCTGCATCTGAGCCTGCCAAATGCTTCCGATTGATCTCAGTCCTCTCGGGGTCGAAAATCGGTGTGGCTGCAGAAACGACGTTGTCCACAGCACTAAGAACCTGCAGGGCAGGCACCGCTTCAACAAGTTTTGACCCACAAGCAAGTTATATTGTAGACAGAGGGCTCTCCCAGTGCAACCTATTCACTTTCGCCAATGACACTGGCATGTTGTTGGGTTTTGGCAACATAAAGAGATACAGGGTGGATGGCAGAATCGTACAGAAGTTCTGTTCGAAAGCCAGCAGTCTTCCGAAATGGCCTTTCGAGGCTTGTGTGTGTATTTATGGGCCAGCCAGCCAGCAAACTAGACTAGCGTACCCCAGCCCAGCCAGTCAGTTGGCCAGTCGTTCCGTCAGTCAGCCAGCCAATCCAGCAACCAGAAGTGCCTCGCTGAGTTGGCCTCGGCAACCCTTCACCAACTTCCCCTCTTGCAGCAACTCCACTGCCTGCCAGTGCCCAATGGGGTTTCTGCGATGCTTGAGGCGCCGCGACAGATGAACATCAAGTTGAATCAATGATACTGCAGGGTGGTGAACAGCAATCTCCTGAAGGCCTAAGTTTTCTACCACTAAGAGCGGAAGGCAAAAACAAGAGAACCTCAGCACTTGAACCTATTCAGGCTTGCTGTATACCTATGCTTGGGCAGGTAAAAGCCCGAGCTCCCTGCAGCAAACCTGCCTCCTCGCGAGATAGCCCATTTAGCAGCCGGTCTTGCCCCCTCTGAAAGAGCAAAGACACGAAGGTCTGGCAGGCGCGAACCCACGGGCACAAGGCATCACGTTGCCAGTAGAATCCAGCAGCTGGATAACTCACACTGAAACGATCCACCTGTGACCGTCCTGTGAGGCATGCCAGATTTGCAGATTCGACAGATTTCAATTCCATTGGACGACAAACACATGATCAGCTTGTGTTACTCCAGGTTGCTTCCTTGACTGTGTGGAATCTTGCAGTACCTATCTGCAGCTCCTACCTCTGCAGCTTCTCTGTTGGAGAGCGGCGGCAGAGTAACCTTGGGCACGACTCGCGACCGTCGTCCCTGCACCGACCCCAGCCATCAGAGTACTGTGCAGCGCCATGGTGATCATGAAAGCTTCAAACTCAACAAGCACGGAACCAAAAGGTTCAAACACAATCAGCTAGCGATCCTCACTCATTCTGCCATAGGCCTTTGGCATCAGGATCGAAAGCACCCGTCTGCAAATGTCTGGCACATTGCATGACATTGCCCATTTCCTTGCATTGTTGGGACACAACTCGCTGACCATTGATTCAACCCTGCTGAATGCGCCGCACAATTTATCATGTCCACTTTCGCACTGCCGACTCATCTATTTGGCACTCGGCGTATCAACATAGTGGATCAACCAGTGCAGGCATTGCCTGCCACTCTGAGTTCACTAAGCGTTAATCAGGTTGAACAACTCGAACAAGCTGAAACATCGTTCAACGGCGCAGCTGATCCGAGTGCATATCATGCATTTCCCGCATGGCAGCACTACCCCGTGCTTGAACCATCATAGATTTGAATTCATCTCTAGGAACTTGGTAAGTCCCTGCCGCTCTGCCTGATGGCCCAGGTTCTAAAAGAAAATATACAATAAAGCACATGGCAGGGTGCGGCAAGGTCAACCAATGATTCTGCATTACAAATTCACATGCCTGCCGCCCGTCAGTCAAGGAGCCGTCGGATTGCACGAAGCGGCTGGCCGTCAAAGATCCTGGCCCCAGTTGATTCGGTGGAAGAAACATCCATTTAGGAGTTGCTGCCGATTTCGAGTTGCTGGCCATCGGTCCCGGAACAGGAAGTGCGATCATCCCATGCTGAGGTGGCCGTGGTACCTGGCAGAGTGCATCTGGAACAATCGTTCAGCAACAAAGCCCCTGAAGGTGATTCAACTCCGCGACACCTGCAGTATTGGGTTCGGTAGAGCCGGCCCAAATTGAACGTGAGAAGCAGACCATTGTAGCAAGTTCTGAACCTCTGCAAGCACATCCGAGTCTTGTTCACCAAGGCCCCGCCACTGCACCGAAATCGCCCCCCAATACAGATCAATTTGCTTTGGAACCCGCGACAAACCTCCAGCCGCCTCCCAGTGTCTCCATCTGCTTGGCGGCACGCTGCTTTGCACGTTGCGGGGTGGACAGCATTGGGGCCGTGGTGGCGGTGAGAGCCTGATCATGACATTGCATGAAGCGTGGGCAGTGGCAGCATCTATGTCACTGACCGGCGACCATCGGGCATGGAAAAGTGGTGCCTTTCCAGAAATTGAGGCCTCGCTACAGGGTAGGGGCATCCGATCAATGAGCGCAGACGTGACTGCTCTGCAGTGGCCTGCAGCCTCGGCGTTTGCACCATGCCAACGCCAGCCGAAGCCTTCACACGAGCAGGAAACATTGAAACAAACACGAGCATTTGGTTCGAGAAACTCAACTCCCGGGACTCCCAAATGCCGCCGTCTCCCAAATTCTTCGCTCATTGCCAAGTTCGCCCTGCCTTTCGCCAGCTCCGTGCGTTCCTGTCCCTCAAGAGTTGGAGATGAGCTCGCCCAGCAGCTGCCTCTCTGAGCGCCTCAGGCCGATCTGAAGCCCTTCGGCCCCTTCACACCACGGAGCTCCTTCAAATAACCGAGCTGCTGAAATGGCCCTATGCCATTTGGATCCCTCCAATGCAACCAGGGCGCCAAGTCCTCACTGGCGACAGGTGGTGTCCGCTGGAAGCTGGACCTCGCCAGTGGCTTGCTTGAGTTGGACTCTGCTCAGACCGCTGGGTGCCACAACCAAAAGCCATAGCGACATGAAATGATATGAATCCTTATAGATTCATAGACCCTCAATGGCAATGTGAGCTGCGGCTATGTGCCACATGGTGGAATGGTCGGGATGTACCCACCTCGCTCTCCAACCCTGACCTGGCTTTCCAACGCCACATTTGTTGTGTTGAGGGCTCGTACCTCGTTTTGCACCTAATTCAGCATGCTACCCAAAAGATGTGTCCGCCCGGCCGTTACTGCAGTCTTCTGCAAATAAAGGCAGTCTCTCACGTATCTTCTTCCAGGCACATGTAAAGGTGGGCAACCGATACACCAGCATGGATCGAACACTAACTACCGACCTGGACCTGGTGATGATTGCTGACCCGAATCAACACTGCCGCCATTCGCTGTACAATCGCACGCCTGGATGTGGCGACACTGTAGCCTTGGCCAAAGCGGGCAACAAGTAGCTTCGCCTTGTCTGCTAGACTGAGGGTGGAACTGCGACTGATGCTGCACACTGAATCCTCCTGGCCCACATTGCCGATTGAAAGGACTGCCAACAACACCATGGCAAAGCACAGCGCAATTGGAAACACCCAAGCCTGCAAAAGGCTACACCCTGACACCGCTTGGTCGCAATCTGCATCCTCAAACCTGCACAGTATGGGCATCTCAGCAAGTATGCATTGCCACAGAGACTTCTCGAGGGTTGGGACCCACCCCAGTTTCAGAAATCTGCCATACACTGGCGTTGAGGGTCCAAACATTGGTTGTGCCCCAAACCACCGTTCGGGTGTCAGATATTTCAAGCCATACAGTAATTCATAAGGTGGACGCACAGGGTCAACATCAATAAGTTGGGGGTGCAAGGTCTGCCGCTGTGGCCCCGCCTATCAGCTGACTCGCTGCGACCAGTGGACTCGTGGCCCGTCTCTTTCTCCTTCCCGGCCAGCTCCTGGCCAACCATCGCCGAGCTGAAATGGGCCACCAGGAGCTTCACCGAGCCCTCGCCGGCCCTGGCGAATGGCAAGCCAAATTTGAACACCTGAAAGATGTGAAAGATGCCTGACTGCATTCCCAACTCCCTCAGCTCTTTTGGGTGCCCAGCCTGGACTGCAGCCCGTCTCGCCAGCTTTGCACCTCCGACCGTGGCTCCTTTGCTTCAAGCTCCGCCCACTCGGAGCTGCGAGGCGACGCAGTTGAGCACTTGCCATGGCCGGCACCAAATGTGTCCGATGTGTCGGCACCTGCGCGCCCTGGGCACTGCGCCGGGCTATCCGAAGCGTCCGAATCAGAAAAGCTTAGCTTCCTCCTGGCCGACTGGCAGCTGGCACCAGCGTCACCTCAATGGACAAGGATCCCTGAAGAGTCAAATGGATGCGACATAAAGATTCAATTATACGGCATCCCAATGACTTCATATCCACATCAACCGCCTTGCCAATTCGGACGAGCAAGCTGGATCCTTCTTCGTGTGCTCGAGTATCAAAGCATGTGGACGTCTCTATGCCTGTCGATGCCTCCAAGCGCGTCGAAGTCTCCAAACCTTTGCTTGCAGAATGTCAGGTTTCGTTGTCGAAGTGAGGGGGCCCTCTGAATGGTCGGTGCCCGCTTTCTGTGTGTCAGCAGGACATTGGGTTTCCGTTTCAAAACTACAAAACAAAGACGAGGATGTCGAGACGGCCCATATTTTGCCTCCAAGCAGCTGCCCGGAGTGCACAGGCAGGAGGCTTCCTCAAAGGGTGTTGCACCTCGCCAGGCTGCAAGGCTTCGAAAGCGTTTGGGATGGAGCAAAGAAAAACACATGAAATAATATTGTGTGTGTGTGTGCGCGTGTGATCGAAAAGCTCAGACATTGTTGTGTATAGTATGTGTATATATTAACAGTGGTATGTAAGCGAACATATTGTGCAACGTGTACGTTTGTGTTGACTTGCACACAAAACACACCCCATATACACCATACATCTTAAAAGTCTGACGAATGCAAGACGGGCGCAGCTATCCCGAGCTGCTTGCTGAGCACGGACCATGTATGCGACAATGTCGTACTGAAGCTCGTGAGCCGCCAGGTTCGCTGCCTGCAAATCTTCATGCGCATTGCCTGTTTCTCGACTTGGAAGCTCGGAGTACAAATTCAGGCGGCTCAACCCAGGAACAACAGAGGCTGGAAATCTGGGACTCAGTCCGAGCCTGTGAATTCGTCAAAGCCATCCCTCAGACCCACAGACTCAGAAAAAGCTTTGAGCACCCCGTGCTGCGGAGCCAAACGCAAACACGTACACTTCGACTCAAAACACTGCGCATGCGGCATCCCGAAGCCCGCCTCAAACCTGTCAAGCTTCCCTGAAAAGGGCCACGTGTTTGTCCCATCTCATCTATCACTGCTATCACCCTTTTTTGACACTTGGGCGCAGCCGTCCACCTCTGGGCCCGGAGCCACCCGTGCCAGCTCCGACACCTGGGGGCTTAGAAGCGGCAGGCGCTCGGCCTGGCGCAGCTTTCGTCCAAGATGTCGTAGAGGCAAACCAGCCAATTGAAAAGTGAGAAGCGCAATAGAATTAGAATGGAGCAACTTTGAAGGCATCGGCCCAGGGCCCTGGCAAGCAGCTAGAGTGCGCCAGCTTCAGCCGTTTTCTTGACATAAAGGCAGGTCCATGGCTTCGGCCGCATGTGTCTGCAAGTGCATCACATTTGACTGCCTGCTCTGCCTTTCTGGGCAAGGTCACCAGCACGTGCAGCCCTGGGCCAGGCGTCAAAGAAAAGAGAGGAAGAGCAACCGGCATACTCCCCACACTCGCTCCAGCACAAACCAAGTTTCAAAGGCGCAATGCCCTGGCACCAATGCACCATCTGCATCCTGGCCTTCTAGAACTGATGTGACATATGTGCATTCATCTGGCCAGCTGCCCCCAGACCGGCCTTTGTGTCTGCGAAGTATGCGTGCAAGTAGGCGCCTGCACCACAACCAAATGCTACATGCAAATCAAGGAGACAGTTGGGCCGAGTTCCCTTCCTGCACAAGGAACCGCAACAATGATGAGTCACAGTGCCATCCCTAGGCCGCAATATCCGCCTTGGGCCTTCGCGCGTGATGTACTCCAGGCCATCCACTAGGACCTGAAGCCCATGGCGTGTTGCTACGAAGAACGAGTTTGGAGCAACGGTTGCCTTGGTCCTCATTACTATTACTTCTGCTATTGCTAGTACTATCAATATTACTATGACTCCCACTAGCACTAACACTACTTCGACGACTATTCCTATTACTACGAGTAGTGCTAATCTCATGATCCTCGTCACTGTCACACTGATCTTCATTGTGATGATCATTCTGATTTTCGTGGTTGTCACGATTATCATGATCATGGCTATTGAGTTTCAATTGATGAATAACATATGCTCCACAAGCAAACTTGCCAGCTAGCAAGTCATGAAGAGGCCCTCAGCCCCACGCCAGGAGGGTGCGCGTCTGCATGGGCAACGCCGTCATCCAAGCAGCCACTGCCTGACATTGCGGCTGGGTGGCTCAAGGGTAAAAATGCAGCTGATGCTTCCGACTAAAGTGGGAGCATGCTGAATACCTTTCCCAATCTAGCCTCACCAGGCGAGCAATGCAACCCGTGACATTCCCTGACATCGGGGAATGACTCTGAACATCAACCAGAGTTTGTTCATCATCTCCATGCGAGATGCTTCTACAAAAGAAGGAAAGGGAGGGGAAAGAAATGCGAAGTAAAACAATGTATGCCCGGGGAGTAATTGAGCCCGTTTCCTCCACAAGATCCTGCAGCTGATTCCCTTAGCCCCCAGCTGATTCTGCGGGAGACAGCGCATCTGCTGTTCCTGGGCAAGTGCTGGTGGTGGAAGAAGTTGTGGTTTCAACTCTTCAAGAGATACCACTACAGCTTCCATTGCGGAAGTACCCACTAGCGTTTTCCACAAGTCACCTTTGTAACAGAAGGATTCCAAGTTGAGTCACTCTTCATGGATCAGTTGGGCCTTCGCCCCGCGCAGAAGAAGGCGTGGCCGATGACCCATCTGACAGCCCGCTAACAAAGCAAAGGCAATGCTGAACGCTGCATGCACAGGGAAAACTGTGATAATCCGCAGCCCCCCCCACAAATATCTTCCAGGCAGTAGCAATGATACAAATTCCTTCGTAGATAGAGGCCGAGCGAAACCTCAACACCCACGACTTCCTGATTTGCCCGCCTGCTGATGAAGTGGTGCCATACCAACGCTCAATGAGTGGCACCTGGTGAGACTCTCTCCGTGGCCAACATCAAGCTGGTGAACAGATGCCACATTGAACATTTGCAAATTCAAGCTCAAGCACACTGCACGGGGGTGACGAATCAAAAATACCGTTAGGCATCAACAAAAACCATTCCTGAAGATCAAAAACACTTATTAGGGGTCAAACAAAATCTTCTCGTAGATATTCTATTAAAAATAGAGAGTCAGAGGATCAAAACAACACTTTTTGTGGCAGGTGCAGCACTTTTCGTGGCAGGCGCAGCACTTTCGCAAGGTCAGGTACAGATTTCGCGGCACGCGCAGCACTTTCGCAAGGTCAGGTACAGATTTCGCGGCACGCGCAGCACTTTCGCAAGGTCGGGTGCCGATTTTGTGGCAGGCGCAGCACTATTTGAATGGTCAGGTAGAAATTTGGTGGCAGGCGCAACACTTTGGCAAGGTTAGGTACAGATTTCGCGGAAGCAGCAGCAGCAGTTTAGCAAGGTACGGTGCAGATTTTGCAACAAGCGCAGCACTTTCGCAAGGTACAGTAAGTACAGATTTCGTGGCAGGCGCAGCACTTTCGCAAAGCGATACAGAGAAAGAGAAAGATCCAGACATCTAAACATGGAGAAAAAGGGGGAAAAAAGAGAGATCGAGAAAGAGAAAGAGAGAAAGAGGGAAAGGGAGAAAGAAAGAGCGAAAAAGAGAGACAGACAAACAGACAGAGGGAGAGAGACAGAGAGAGCGCGAAAATGAGAGACAGACAAACAGACAGACGCAGAGAGAGAGAGAGAGAAAGAAAGAAAGAAAGAAAGAAAGCAAGAAAGAAAGAAAGAAAATAAAGAAAGAAGGAAGGAATTAACTTGTGGAACCCTGCTACGGAAGCTAGCCTTAGGCCAGAAACTTCTCGCAGGAAATCCAAATAAGTTTGCGTGAGACCCAGCAGCAAGTCAGAATGGTACTTGGGGAACTCTGCAAAATATAATCGAAGAGATGATTCAACAAACAGTGTCCTTCCTTCAATCCTTGCTTGATTCCTTTCTCCTTCCTTCCTTCCTTCCTTGATTCTTCCCTGCCTTCCTTCACTCCTTCCTTCCTTCCTTCCTTCCTGCCTTCCTTCACTCCTTCACTCCTTCACTCCTTCACTCCTTCACTCCTTCCTTCCTTCCTTCCTTCCTTCCTGCCTTCTTTCACTCCTTCACTCCTTCACTCCTTCCTTCCTTCCTTCCTTCCTTGCTTGATTCCTTTCCCCATCCTTCCTTCCTTCCTTCCTTCCTTCCTTCCTTCCTTCCTTCCTTCCTTCCTTCCTTCCTGGAATTCCTTCCTTCCTGGAATTCCTTCCTTCCTGGAATTCCTTCCTTCCTGGAATTCCTTCCTTCCTGGAATTCCTTCCTTCCTGGAATTCCTTCCTTCTCCCCATAAGAATAAAAAGAAGTTGTTTTGATTCTTAATAAGGTTGATCAATAACAAGTTCTTTTTTGGCCCCAAATAAGTTGTGTTGATGCCTATCCCACTGCGCTGCTGGCTTCTGCTTGCATGGGCAATGCCGCCACAAGCCTGCTTGTCAGCCGCCATCTTGAGGTTCTGGCGAATCAGCACAAAAGGCCGGATCGCGCAGACAGCTACAGCACGGCCAAATGAAATGAACAAACACACTTAGTGGGTGTGATTCCCCCATCTGGCTTTCGGCGAATCAGCGCACATCAGCTGATATCAGCTGACTAGATGCAGCCAAACACAGTCCTCGCAAGACTGGCCAATAATCACTTTTCAAAAGTGATTTGAATCGCTGGCACACGTGGTCCACATTAGAAACGGGAACTGTTCAAACCTGCGCCGCTGCCTCTTCTAGCGCCTGTGTCATGTTGTCATCGTCTAAGGTCTCTCCGCGTCGGAGGCCTAGCCAGTTCGCACAATTCTCCTGGCTCTCAAGGAAAGCCCTGAGACATCAGCGCCTTGCACTTTGATGGCCAAGACGTCACTTGCGGCGCATCCCACTATGCTGAGCAAGTTTCCAAATTGCAAGAAGGCATGTGAAGCCAGACATCATTCACCAAAAAGCGACATCTTTACGGACCCTGCCTGTGACTTGACAACGCAGCCTCTTCACAAAGTCCGTCTTTGGGTCTGGCCAGGGCGGGCTCTATATGCGAAAGCCGGGTCTCAAAACTGGCTGGTTTGAGCTTCAGAATGGGCTGGGCTTCAGAATGGGGAAGTAGAACCCTCAAACATTTGACATAACCCAAAGGTTCTGGGTTGTAATTTGACCATTTTGGCCTTGGTTGTGATTCTGTTGTCCCTTCTTGTTTTCCTTCAGGGCGAACATAGTGAGCTTTGCTCAGTTGAGCAGTCAGTGCAAAACCGATCGAGACTTATAGTTATATACCGTCATAGCAATCCTTCGCGGAGCTTTCAGGAAGCTTTCGCGGAGGCGAGTTTCCCTTTCGCGGCGGCTTGTGTTGCATCAAACCTTTCGCGGCGCTTTCGCGGCGGCTCCTTGAAATTCGCAGAGCAACCTTTCAGTACAAGAATCATGCACCAAGTATACTTGGTAGCTCCAGCTTCGAAAACGAAAATTTCGGAACAAGCGTAGCCCTGGACCCACGCCTTTCGTTGACCCTTCACAGAGCCTTCGCGGGGCTTTCGCGCCAATCCCCCTCAATTTCGAAAGTGGGCTAACAGCCTGTGCACACTGATGAGCAAATGCATACTCTCGCACAGTCAATGCCCGCTCTTTCCGCACGCTGCCTGCCCCATCTTTCGCGAGTTTTCAAAAAACGCTTGCGCGAGCTTTCGCGATGCAAGGTGTTCCTTTCGCGGAAGCTATTTAGGAAACTGTTTAGATAAAAATCATCGGGGGGTTTTGTGCGCTGCTCGGTTCTCTTGGATGGTCCTGGCGGGTCATCCTGGAGGGTGAAACTCAGGCGGCGCACTGTCGGCTTGGGTTTTTTTGGGGCGGGCCTAACTCAATTTGCAGCGCTTTGTTGGGTTGGTTTAGATCTTAGACGGCTACGTTTTTGGTGTTGATCATCCTGTGACTTGGGCTTGGGCACCTTTGTGGCCCCTTGGAAGGGCGTAAGGCTGTGTAGCGCCAGTTCTCAACG